ACCACCAGTTCGCCATCCATAGTGTCATCGTAGGTGCGTTTGTTGCGGTTCTGTTCAATCTTCATGCGTCGACACTCTTTCGCCTCGTCATTCCAGATCCACTCCTTTATATAGTAATTATTAGTACCATGCTCATTATGGTCAGTTTGGTTATTATGGTCAATTTGGTCAGTGTGGTTATGATGGTAATTATTAGTGTGGGTGTCAGGTGTGGGTTGGGGTGGTAGGTGTGTCCGGGAGCTCACCTTTTTCATTCCGCATTCAATGCACTTATTTAGCCGACAGAAAGCGCACATTCGCCGCATCACTATATCAATGGCACAATTGGACTGGAATTTGCATTTCGGTATTTTCTAATGTAATTTCAATGAATATTACAATTGTTAATATTAATAGTACAAACTTGTAAATTGATTAAGTACAGTAAGTTTAAATAAGTATTTACACTAATTAGTAGTGTGACCAACTCTGTTTTAGACAATAGTGTACAAACTGATAAAATTGAGGATAAAATAGTGTACAAATAGTGTACACATTATTTATGGTCAATTAATACAAATCTCATTATATAAGGGGTTTCAACAAAATTTGTCCGTCAGATTTCGGCGATTACTCCGGAACCGTTGAGGTGACACTAGTGTCACTTCACACATATATAGAGCCATGTTGGGAAAATTTTTTGACATAAAAATTTATTCAATCATGTGACTATTTTTTGGAGAAAATGATGGCATTCCGAAATCACTTGTGCTGTGTCAACTGTGCTTACGAGCAAACAATGGGCTCTTCTGTTACGATAATGTATTTAATACCACCAATTGTGTAGTTTAGACCAAATAAAATAATTTAACACTAATATCTCGGGCTGATAGCCCAGTGGGCGTCTCTGGCAGGGGGTTTTAAGTTTCAATTCTTATGTGTTAGCCTATGATAGTTAGTTGACTTTTATGCCGCAAAACAAGTAGCGCTATTATCTATGCAATTCTCTTATGTAATTGAAACTTAAAACCCCCTGCCAGAGGCGCCCACTGGGCTATCAGCCCGAGATATTAGTGTTAAATTATTTTATTTGATCTAAACTACACAATTGGTGGCCTTTAATGCCGATATTGCAACATAAGTGGCCAACTATTGCTTGTTAGTATAGGGAGGGGTGGAGATATGGGGTGGATAGAGGAGATGTTAATGTGTTACACAAACCAAGAACCATCATGATTGACTAATATAATAAGTTTTGTATTAATTGGATATAAATATGTGTGATTAATATAATCAGATTTGTATCAATTAGGTTTGTATCAATTAGATTTTATTATTTTAGTTTTTAATAGAAATATTTTCGAAAAGTGTACATTAGTGTACAGTCTGAAATTAGTGTACAGAAGTCTCAAATAGTGTACTGTACACTTCAAAAGTGTACGGTTGGTCACACTACTAATTAGGGATTATGGTCATAAATTATTTTTGGATTATATTGTATAATGCACTCAACGTTCTCTAATTTTATTAGATTATAAGTACTTTGCGAACAGTTATGACAAAGTGTTGTCACACATAAAGTGTAACGTTAAGTGCATTTAAGGAGAGTTTAGTAGGACTTTGTGTTAAGTTATTCTGGAAACTAAACTTTTCTGAGTCATGGAAAACGATTCTAGATTCTTTAGAAATTATTTATTTGCAATAACTTGTTAGGATGTTACTAACTATGACAATGTTATTGTAAATATAATATTATTATATAATTAAATAATCTAAGACTAAATAAGCCTGAATTTGAGACTTCTGTACACTAATTTCAGACTGTACACTAATGTACACTTTTCGAAAATATTTCTATTA